CTTCGGACAAGCCTTATTTAGGTCCGTGAAGTCAACGCACATCCTCCAGGTACCATTGGGCTTCTGAACCATCACCACATTTGCCAGCCATTCTGGATATTGGCAAGGTTCGATGAATCCTGCCTCCATCAATTTTTTGACCTCGGCTGCGATGTCTCGGTTCTTATTAGCGGAGTAATTCCGCTTCTTTTGCTTAACTGGTCGACACGTTGGGTCAACATTAAGCTTATGGGAGATGAGGTCTGAACTTATCCCGGGCATATCAGCTGCCGAGAAAGCAAACATATCTCTGTTGTCCCGAAGGAGCTGAATAAGTTCACAACGGGTGTTCGGATCAAGGTCCATCCCAATTGTTACACATTTCTCAACGTCTCCTTCGGCTAACTCAACTGTTTCAGTATGTTGGTCCATGTCCATTGCTGATGGACTGGACTCTTCATAATCTGGCCTGCAGGGCCAATGTCAGCAGGTGTCCCAGTCTTTTTGTTCTTCGGCTGGCTCTCTGAGTCTTGCGGCTCAGCTGAAGAGCTAGCCTTTTCCCTTTCGGGCCCTTTACCTCTGGGTACAGATCCTTGGGCCGAAGCACTTAGGCCTTTCGGCTTTTTTGTGCTTGGCTCTCTTTCTTTTTCTTTCTCCTCCTCATCCTTGTCGTCATCTGGGCGGCTACTGGATGGCTTGAGGTAGTTGCACCTTCGGGCGTCCTTTTGGTTGCCCTATATCCTTTCGGGGAAGCCGGCGTCTGAGACGTAAATCATCAGCTGATGATAAGTTAAGACGACCCCTTGGATCTCATGAATTATGGGTCTCCCCAAAATCACGTTGTACACTGAAGGAGCGTCAATTACCAAAAATTCAATCATGACGTTCCTGGCTGCCTCATCGCAGCCGATGGTGACAGGAAGTGTCACCTTCCCATCTGGATAAGTTGAAGCCCCGTTGAACCCGGATACCGGGTAGGGTACCGGCGTAAGGTGCTTGGGCTTCAGCTTGATTTGATTGTAGGCCTTTCGGAACAGAATGTTTGCTCCGCTGCCACCGTCAACAAGGACCTTACTGACGTCGTGGTTGGCCACCGTGGCGATGATCACCAACGGATCCTCGTGAGGGAACGTAATCCCCCGGCAGTCGGCGGCTGTGAACGTCATGTTCGGCACCGGCGACTGGGGAGATTGAATGTCAGCGTTGTTCACCTGGTGAGTCAAAGCTCTAAGGTGTCGCTTGTGCTCCCTCCGAGAGTATATTCCTCCCGAGATAACATTGATCGGAGGGAATTTCCCCTCCGGCTTTTTATTGTTTTTCCGGGGGAAGTCGAGGTCTTGCCGAGAGTCCTTTGCTGACTTCTCGGATTCTTTTTTCTCGCGGTGATCCGCGATGTATTTTTTCAAGTATCCCTTCCGGACCATGTCCTCTATCTGGTCCTTCAGTTGGATACACTCCTCAGTGTTGTGTCCCGAAGACTCGTGGAACTCGCACCACTGATTTTTATTTTTTCGCTGATACCACTCTGGGAGTGGTCTCGGCTTTCGGTAACTCTGCTCTTCCTTCGTCACGCTGTAAATTTTGGCGCGTGGAAGAGAGAGCGGAGTGTAGGACTCGTATCTGCCTGTGTATGAGGTAGATCTTTCCTTCTTTGGGTCGCTGGCCGAAGATTGCTCCGAGGCCTTTGACTTTCCCTTTGCCTTATGGCCTTGGCCTTCAGACAAGGGTATTTGTCTTTGTTTCCCTCCCCCAAATTGAGGTTGGGCTTTCGCTTTGTTCCATTCTTCGGCTCGGATGAACTTATCCGAGGCATTCAGAGCTTCCTCCAAGGTCTGCGGGGTATGCATGACCATGAAGTCTAGGAACTTTCCGGGCTGAAGGCCATTCTGCATCGCAAAAACAGCTAGCCCTTGGTCCAGCTGAGAGACGCTGGATGACTCGTTACTGAAACGGGTCAGATAGTCTCGGAGGCTTTCGGTTTCCCCCTGTTGCAGACTCATGAGTTCTGCAGTAGTCTTCTCTCGGCGGTTTGCCGTGGAAAACTTGCTCCTAAATTTGGAGGACAGATCATCCCACCCTGTTATGGAGCTTTGCTTTACTCCCTTGGAGATCCACGCTTGCGCGACCCCCTTGAGAGTGGTTAGGAAATATTTGCACCAAGTCGCTTCGGATCTGGGGCAAAGATGCATATGAGTCTCATACGAGGCCACATGATCCTTCGGATCCGAGGTCCCGTCATATGTGATGTGCGACGGTATTTTAACCGTGGGCACACGCTCTTCCAGTATCCATTGCTCGAATGGTGAACTGGCGGGTAGCATAACGGCCTTGCCCTTGTTCCTGGCCGAAGGGACCGCGCTCCGCCCTCTTAGAGAGGTAGGAGTGGTTTTCGTCCCTGGCTGGGAAGTCTCGGCCTCGGCTGGTGGGAACGAGAGGCGACTGCGCACGCTCGGTTCCTTGCCGCCGAGTCGTTCGAGGACGCTTCGGCGAACAGTCTCAGGTTCTCGGTGAGTAGATTCTGGCCGAGAAGCTGAGCTGCTGCTCTTATGCGTTTCTGGTCGTGAGGATGAGGATCCTTTAAAAAATTGAGAGTTCTTTTTCCTCTCTTTTTCATTCTTCCAGGTATCCTCTTCCCACTCTTCCAGCTCCCGGAAGGAAAGAAGCTTCCCACCATCATTGTCTAACTTCCTCCGCTGATGCCGAGTATGCGGAGGAGTTCGATCACGAGGTGGTGGCATATTTTGTGCCCTCATCGCCTCCATGAGTACTGCCAGCGCTCTTGCCACCTCTTCCGAGCTGGGCCCCGTTAAAGGGGTCCTCGGCCGAGTATGGGAATGAGGGCGTACAGCCGATGGTTGGCTTTGGGGCACTGAATGTGTCCTATGATCGGACTCACCCCTGCTAGACCGAGAGTGACTCGGCCTATGATGAGAGTCATGAATTATAGGAGAAAGGGAATCCTCCTTGTATGATCCTCCCCCCGAGCTGGCACCCTTGGGAGAGTTCCGGTCCGGCGAGGGTGATGGTGTAGGAATTTTAGGCTTTTCGCCCGCTCCTTGACGGAGGCTTTTGCTCTTGCGGTTTTTAGCCATTGCTACTAAGATAATTGCAAGATGATCTTGGTTAGAAATTTGGCTTAAAGATTTTTGAAAGTCTTCCCCACAGACGGCGCCAAATTGTTTCGGGTGAAAACAATGGGACCTTGCCGAACGTCCGCTGAAACGGAGAAGACTGGATTCGGTCCAAGTTATGTTGGGCCGAAGGTTTCCTGCACAGTAAACACACGTAAACTAGCCTCGGGGGTGTTGCCGAGGAAGGCCCCTCCGATGCTAAAGTCAGTACAATGTGTAGAAAGAGAACACTATGCAAGAGCATTTTTTGCTTGAGGCTTTATTTGAGTATATGAGAATATATGAATCTATGAATGAATCCCTGAATGTGTGAATATTGATGGCTTTTATACCTCTTCATACATGGAGAAGTTGGGCCTTAGCCCAATTGGCTTGCTTTGAGGGCTGACCTTTGACTTTAACACAATTGGAGAGTTGAACCTTGACCTTGGGCTTTTAATTGGATCATTTAATGCCTAGGCCCAATTGGACTAAATTGGACCCAAACACAAAGTAATGTTTATTAAAAATTATTAGCACAAAAGTGTGACTGGAGATTTAAATATCTTTAATATTTATACCTTTTCTTACTTTTGATGCTTTTTTGGATGTCATTAATAATTCTTATTTTCTGTGAATGACTATACGAAATAATTATTTTTGATTTATATGTGTAGCCGACCTCACTTATGGAATTAAGACTTTGATTGATTGATTTAATAATTCTTATGGGTACGTTTAAAAAACTTTTGTAGGGGCAATGAATCAATTAGCCAAAAATTTGGCATGTGAATGGGCCAAAGACAATATTAGGGCTAATTCTGTTGCTCCTGGGTACATTAGCACACCTTTGGCTCAAGGGGTAATGCCCGCCATTAATATTTTTTTTAATTAACCATTGTTATAATCCCTCGATCTCTATTTGAATGATGCAATATTATATAATGACTCGCCTTATTAGAGAATGAAAAGTTATAATAACTTTGTATAATTGAATTATATTTGATAGATTCTTAGTAATAAGGTGTGTATGGAGGTTATCAATTTCCGAACAGCTCTGGGACGTGTAGGAAAGGCCCAAGAAGTGTCAAGTCTAGTGGCATTCCTTTGCATGCCAGCATCTTCTTACATCACTGGCCAAACTATATTTGTTGATGGTGGAGCCACTGTCAATGGTTTTCTACCAATTACCTATATTTAGGAAGGAGTAAAATTTAAGAGAAGGTATTGTGTGAGTTCTTCATACTTACGATGAGATGAAAATAAGATAGTGTACATTTTATAAACTTGTACTTGTACAAGTCATTGAACAACTTATTTTAAGGATTTAGATATAAGTTGTTGAATATTTTGTATCTATTATTGGAAATTCAATACAAGTATAAGATTTTAGACATGTCAACTGCATACGTTTGACAATGTTATATGTGAATATATACGCCATTTATTATAAAATGTTGGATGATATATATTAGGGTTTTTTTTTACATAGTAACCCTCTATTATTCACTTTTTCAAGCTGTGCCACTTCTTTTAAGAAGTTAGTAAGTTACCTATTGTAACTCTCTAATACAATGAGTAACCGTACGGTGACTTTAGCCTTATATAGCCCGTTAACAGGTTTGATTTTTAATTTTCTTTTTCTCGATTAGCTCTATTATGGACCATATCTTATGTCCAAAAATACAACGTTACGTTACGTCCATGCAAAGCCGTGGCCATTCATGTCAATTTTTCATTGCATATTGTACTCACTAGCTACCTTTGTGCTTGGCTGTAAAATTGACACGTGGTTGTTGCCAAAAAAAAAAAGTTAGGCATTTGGTCTCCTACTGTCCAAGGCCAATATAGCCCGAAAGTAAAGCTTATTTTCAATAATAAGAAGTATTCATTATTCAACTTCCTTAATTGTAGTTTTGTTTTAAATAACCATTTTCTATAATCAAGTTGAAGAATAAAAAAAATTGGAGGTAATTAGTGCAAATACGTATGGTAATAACAAACGATGGTCACTCCAAGGAATGGCCGCTCTTGTCACGGGTGGCACTAGAGGCATCGGGTATGTACCAAGTAAAAACCTGTATATAAAATACTCGTGCTAATTATATTTTACATATATTAACGGGGTGCCTATTTGTTATACAAGTATTTACATATTAGTACCTTGGAGTTTAATTCAATTGTATTTTTTTTATTTTTTTTATTTTTTTGTGACGGGAGTTCAATTGTTTGATTTTAATTTTAATTTGCATAAATGATCAAAAGTTATTATAATTTTTGTATTTAAATAGAAAACTGAGTATTGGAATATCAATTTTCTTAAGTAATTCAAGTATATATTTATTTTATACACTACCTCCGTTAATTATTATGTGCAACAAAGGGGTATTATTTGTGAGACATAAAATATTACTTTGTTGCACGTAATAATTAACGGAGGTAGTATATATGCAGGCATGCTATTGTAGAGGAGCTTGCAGGACTAGGAGCAATTGTACATACATGTGCTAGGAATGAAGCTGATCTTGATGCTTGCTTGTTAGCTTGGAAGGCAAAGGGTTTGCCGGTAATTGGCTCAGTTTGACTATTCTGTCCGTCAATTGGCTCGATATATCTAATATATGATATTATTTGTACCCTTAGACGGGAAGGATATTCAAAGCTAGAGTTGGTTGTATTTTTGGCCCTAAGAATTTGCAATAAGTTAAAGTGTGATGAAGATGTAGGCAGCTAATGCAGATGGTTACTCCAAGGGATATCTGACCTAATCACTGGCGATACTAAAGGCTAATTTCGAAGCAATTGTGATTTATGCAGGCATGCTATTGCAGAGGAGCTAGTTGGACTAGGAGGAAATGAATTCGAACCTGATACTTGCTTGCTAGATTGGAGATTTGGAGGGCTAAAGGTATACTTGTAAGTTGAATAACATTGTATGAGCATTCGAGCTATTAATTTAACGACAATAAGTTTAGTCGAAGGGTTTAGTTGTTTTTTTTTTCACCTCTAATTTAACCATAAATGGTAGCCCACTATTAAGATTTGCAAATTAATCCACTCAAAAATTCAACTTTGGCGCAAAACTCAAAAATTCATCATCACCTCAAAAACTTTACTCTCTTCTCTTTCCCCCCCAAAAACTCACTGAATCACTCTCTCTCTCTAATGGCGGACATTGAACCTCCATCATTCTCCTTAGGCCTTGACTTAGACTTCGACTTGGAACCTTCTCACAACCCTCCGCCGGAAAAACCTCCGACCCACAAAAACGCCGCCGCAATTGATCCCAAACAAAAAGGAAAACAAAAGGTAAACGAATTAGAAGACGTTGAATTTGAGTTGCGGGTTTCCGATTCCGAACCCGAATCGCCGGAAAAATCTCCCCAGAATCGATTCCGGCGTCTTCGTCGTGGTGTTCCCTCCTCTTACAAGCCCATTTCTACCCCCATTTCGAATTCTATTGATGATGATATTGAGGACTTTTCTGATGAGGAAATTGCTCGAACAAGTAGGTTTTTGGTTGGAATTTAAGTTTTATTGCTGATTTGATTTTTTTTTTTTTAAGTGAAATGGTTTCTGGGTAGTTTTAATTTGGATGTTTGATTGTTTGTTTTGGTGAGGATTAGCTGGGTTTGAATTTAGGGTTTTATTAGTGAATTTAGTAATTACATCCAATATCATTTTTTGATGAATATGTGGAACTGGAAATTAGGGTTGTATTTGGCTGATTTTTGCTTCAAAAGTTATGAGAATTATTGATTTAAGGTGATATTTGCTGTGCAATTGTAGCTGAATATAAATTAGACTCTCTGAATTGTTTGGTATTAGTGCATTCTTGTACATTGTGCTAGGCATTGAAAGAAAGTCTGAATTTCCTGTTAAAGCCAGCTCGAATGCCTTGAAAATTATCTAAGTGTAATTGCTTCTGGAATCATATCATTTGGGTTTGATAATTTCAGTTTGATTGATTACCTCCTGATCCTGATTGATAGGCAGTTTGTAGTTTCACTTGAATACTTGATATTGTAAAGACACTTATAAGTGAATGTATAGTTTCTCTAGTATGAGGGTAAGGTCTAAAAGTGGGGGATTATTAAATTGTGTAAGTTTATAAGGATTCTCTCATGATAATGTCCGCGATAAAATACATTTTATCACTATTGGCACCCTTGTTACTGGCACATATTCTTCATTTCACTTACTACCATACGCCCTAGAGTAGTGGATTTAACTCATGTAAGCAATCATGAAAGGAGATGAAAGAAACAATGCTTATTTAATTTGCGACCTTGTATTGTTGTATCTAACAAATTGGTAGTGTAAGAAGTTGCTGTAAATTTGTATTAATTTTGAGTTTGTGGGCTCAAATGATTGAATTTAGAAGAAAATGGATGCTTCATAATATGTCATTGTTGGTGTGGCATACTAGGTTATAAATGGGCTTATTGCTCAAACCACTTGGGAAGAGTAATGGTAACACTTACAATGTGTTTGGTTAGAATTTGTGGAGGGAAGCAGATGGGAGGGAAAATGAGGATAGAGAAAAGGAAGTGGGAAGAGAGAAAGAGTGAAATTTCGTTTTTCCTATATTGGAGTGGGATTAGTTTAACAAATGGGAAGGAAGATGGATCCCTTCAATTCCTTTCCCCTATGTCATATCGAAACGAGGAAAAATTAAATCTCTCATTTCTACTTCCCTCCCCCCCCCCCACTCACACAAAAAAAAAAAAAAAAAAAGCAAAACTTCCAGTCCAAACAGTGTTAGAAATGTTAATAAGTTGGTTGTGTTACTTGTGTTGAATATTGTACTTTTGATTGAAAAATATTCTCTTGCAGCAGTCATGCATTTGTGGTGGTTTAGTTCAGATATATCAAGGTGTATACTTTGGGAACTCTTAATATGTATTGTGTATGTCTCATCAATTTAATTTGCTCTGATAATCAGATAATCTTGTGGCACCTCAACACCATTCTTCTTGTAGCAGTTCAAAGTTACCCTTATCTGGATGTGGGATCTTGACGAGACAACAGGAAAATGCTAAACATAATAGAAAAGGGAAACAGGATTCGAGTTGTCCTTCTACAAGTTTAGGTTCAAGCAAGGGAAAAAATTTGTTTTCAGACTTAACTGCAAGCCCCCTAAGAAGGTTTCAGCTAATTGATTCTGAATCAGATCCTGATCATCCATCAGATGTATGCACTGAGAGGAAAGCTTGCGGGGTTGGCCTTCCGAATAGCAATAAACAAAAAGAATACAATATTCAAGCAGGATTCAAGCTACTTGATTCCGTATCAGATCCTGATAATCCATCAGATGCTCACAATGACAGAGACACTAGCACAGTCAACTTTACAAAAAACGATAAACCAGAAGAATACAATATTCAAGAAAGATTCAAGCTACTTGATTCTGAATCAGACTCTGATAATCAATCAGATGGTGAACGCATTGACAGGGAATCTAGTGGGGCTGATTTTTCCAAAAACAATAAACAGAAAGAATCCAGCCATGGAAGTCACAGAAAATCCCTTGGCAAAAATGTAGATTTGCAGCCTCACATTTCACAGCAGCAGGATTTGTGGAAAGATTTTTGTACTAGTGATAAGTCTAGTGTACAAACTCCGGTTTTTGATGAATTCTTTACTGAATATTTTCAATCTCTAAAATCAACAAAACCAGCCCCAGGTTCTCGCAAGCTGTGCTCAAGTGAACAGGAAATAAGCATGAACAACGCCAATAATATATTCCAGAACCAAAATTCAGGATCTGCTGTTCCTCCATCTCACCATTACTTTTACCATAATGATTTGAGGATCCAGAGATTAATCCGTAGTCGTTTACCTTACTTTTTCCCATTGACTGTTACTGATGCAGGGTCGAAATCACATGCGTCATCTATAGATTACATGTACTATGCTTTTCTTTGTTAATTTGTGTGCTTCTAAACGCTAAAGATTTTTTATGATCTGGAGTCTGATGATTCCTTGCTGTTTGGATTCAGGAGTCAATTTGGTCAGGATGGTGGTAAACGGCAAACTAGCAGACAAGTCACTTTAGAGAAAAGCTCCAAAAGGGGAAGAAAGAAATCTAAGAACTCGGGTATAGAAGGAACATCACTTGGTTCTGGAGACTGGATTAACCCTAAACAGACAGCTAGCACTCCAAAAGATGCTGGCAGGAGAAGGGTTCATGCTGATGGCCAATCTGCTGGTCGGTGGCTTGTAGCAGAAAATGGAAGGAAGGTAAGGATGTGATGGACCAGAAGTGTGCTTAATCACAGCTGACTGTTTGATCAAGCAATTAGCATTTTCTTGCTGATTTCAGTTTTTTGACTGCTTTAACTTGCTGATAAGCTTTCTTACTGGATGAAATAATCTGTGTTAATTGGAGGTAGATATACTTTGATAGGGAAGAATTAATAGATTTGTTACACTGATTTTTTTGAATATAGCTAAGCTATCATGTGTAGCTGAAAGAAAGCCTGCTTAACACTCCATCTTGTACACGTGGACCATCCTTGTGTACTTGATCACTTCCAAGTTCCAATTTTTGTGCTACTTCAGGTTCACAATATTGACAATTCAGGAATAGAATTACCGACAGCAGTTATTTGTTACTACTAAAAGACCCTCTTATTTCCTAATGGTGATGTATTTTTTTTTTCTTCATTATTTCATCTGTGTTACTAGCTTCTGTGTGTTGTATACTTGTGTCTATTAATGGCAATTTGGTTAACATGAATTTGTAGCATTAGCTCCAACTATTCTGATTATGATTAATATCATTGTGATCACCTCTTTATTCTGCTGTATTACACTTTTTCAGGTGTATATCAATAAAAATGGACAAGAACTGACAGGTCAAATTGCCTACAGACAATACAGAAAGGTAAGTATGACCAAATTGTTCTGATATGTGACTGCTCATGTTACTAGACATTTTCCGCTCTGCGATCATATATCTTAGTACCATGAAACTTCTCCTTTCTTTACTTCCTGCTAGAATTCAGTGAGAGTGAATGAAACACCACAATATTGTCATTCATTTCTATTTGCACTTTAGGGAAGATGACCAATGCTTGATTTTGTTCTTGACAGGAGAGTGGAAGAAGTTTTAAGAAGACTAAAAAGAAGGGTGCTACGAAGAAAAAGTGAAAGTTTCAAGCTGCTGAGATAGTTATGTAGAATACTAGAATTAGTCTTCTCTGTGATCTTTCCTCTTTTAACAAAAGATAGTCATGTTCTTGAGTTTTTAATGTACTAATTACTGTCATTTTAGTCAGTATGCCTGTGAATAAGATAAAAACATTACTCATATGTTGCAGTTTTGTATAATAGAGCTATTTTTTGTTGGTACAACTGTTCATTCAATTCTGAAAGCTACAAACATCTCTGGAGTCTGGACTGATTCTATTTCACTGCTATCCTAATTTGAGTTGCTGTGTAGAATTCTGAAGTCAAAGACTCTGAATAAACTTGACTCTTTGCTACCAATACCATACCTTATTCTCAGCATTAGCACTTTTCCCATAAGTCTCCAATCAATTTTAGACCATTAAACGTTTTTGAAAAATGAATTGCATCAATATAAAACTAAAATAATTTGTTTAAATCCAACCTTTTTCATATTTTGACTAGTAGATGATTTTTACATCAATAGAAAACTAAAATAATCTTTTCAAACATTAAACTAAACACTATAAGATTTAGATTATTATGCAAATTAGTTTTTGGCTTGGACAATGCCCCGAATCATTTAAAATAAAATTAAGTGAAGTATAGATATAGTATAGTTACATTTATTTGAAACCGATGTTTTTTTTTAAAAAAAAAAAAAAAAAAAAAAAAGTTTTTATTTTTACAAATATTATAGAGCATCAAAACTTATTACCCAATATTTTTAGGAACCTACCTTTTACATTGATTTACTTAATTTATCAAATACTAAATTTATAGTCGTAGCTCTTTAGTTACAAAAAATTCTTGTAAAATCAACTTGTTTTGTAGCAAGAAAAAACAACATTAACTTAAAAATTGCAATACATTCTAGGTTACATATTTTAAATAGCTAGAGGTAAGAACAAATAAAAAAAATATTGAGTTTTGTCATCATAGATTGTTGTAAAATTACACGAGTACATGTTTATATCAAACATTAGAATTTCAGTTTTATGAACACGATTAACTATTTTTAGTACAAGTATATAACTATGTTGACATTAAATGTGTCATTGGATTGATGGTAAAATATTCAACTATAATGGAAAGAGGTCATGGGTTCAAGTATTGACCTTTTAAAGGCACTTAAGACTTGAACGCAACATAATAACAAATTGTCGATTATCTGACTACAACAAATCTGTATTCAGTCTTCCTCCAAACTCTGATAACAATTAGTTCGTGGCCAAAAATCCAATATTGGAAGAGTTACAAGACATAGGGTGTTCTCCTATATACAGTTGATTTAAATAACATTTTCCAAACTATTGATGTCAAAATTCCTAATCACCCCAATTACATCAAACTTTGATGTATGAATGCCCAATAAACAAACAGAAACTATAAGTGGGCAGAAAATTCCCCAAGTAACAATCTAATTTATTCTAGGTATAAAAAGTTCCGGCTTCTGTTTGTAACCCAGGTTTAAGTAATTTTGTTCTTCTCCATTTAGCTATCTTTAAAAATCAGCACTCAATTCGAACAACGCCATTATCTGATGATATGAACTTGGGCTTCCGTCTGATTTCCTCCAAGCATTGGACCACATCACCAATCTGAAAATCAAAACAATCTTGAATCACGACACCACATTCTTTTCCCTTGATTACCATGTCCACATCTTGCTTCTCGTGCTTGAGGGATGCACAAGATCCCTCAAAAACAACTTCTCCACTTCTTAAAAGCCTCATAGTCGAAGACTTAGCTATGTGACCTGTTACCACCTTACAGCCCGCAATCTTAACATCAGCCCCTTTGGCCTTGCTTCTACCAGTGATCTCAAAAATATCAAGCACTTGTGCTTCCCCAGCCACCTGTATCTCAGATGTTCCTGGGGCTTTCTCTACTATCAAAGCACCAATGTCGTTCAGGAGGTGGTAGATCACACGGTGCAGTACTATCTGAAACAGAAAAGGAATTCAAAACAAATTATAACGAAAACAATCAGTACAGCATAAAAAGTACTGTATATTAGCAGATTACAGCACCTCAAGATCTTGTAATAAGCACAACTGAACTGTCTGTACCTTTATCTTGGCTCTTTCGGCTTCTTGATTGATGGAATTAGGTGGGCTACGAATATTGAACCCGATAATACAAGCTCCACAAGCTTTAGCTAAGTCCAGATCAGATTGTGATATTGGGCCGACTCCAACATGAACCACATTCACAAGGACCTGACAAGAAAGGTTTTCAGAATACATGCAGAAGAAGGCATATGCGAAATATGAAATAAGAAGGCCCACTTGAGAATGTATAACTCTTTTTATTATTAATTGTTCACCTTCTCCATGTTACACTATTCACCAAACTCACTTTGACCATGTTTTTTTTTTTTTTACCTAATATGTAGATTTACAAAAAAAAATACATATTTGACATAAAATATTATGGAATTGGGTTAGTGTATATTTTCAATCCAGGTAACAGCAAAGAAAGCTAATGAGTATTCTTGAGGGTTCAAATCTAACCAATATTAGTAGGGTTCAGACTTCAAGACAGGCGAGGAAATATTGCAGTTATGAAAATGAGTCATCTAAAAAAAGTACATATAAAAGTCAGTAGGCACAACTCATTTTCATAATAAATTTATGCATGATTATTTGGGAAGGGGGTTTAGGGTTCGCAAGTACATAGAATAAAGGAAACAAGGACTAGAGGAATGCTGAATTGGAAACTACTGAATAGGTGAGCAAAAGGACACCAAATGATATCAGACACATCATCTCACCTGAGGGCTAGTCAAACTTCTCAACGAATCTGTAACAGCTTGAACAGTTCCCTGGACATCTGCTTTTACTATGATAGGCAATTCAACTTTTTCAACTGTTTCAGGTTCCTCTTCTGAGGGCATAGCAATTTTCAACCTCTCCTGTTCAATCTTCAGAAGCCGATCTCTCTCTAGCTGTTTCTTTCTTCCTGCACTAAGCATCTTTGCTCTCTCCTCAGACTCTACAACAACAATATCATCACCAGCCATTGGCAGACCTTTCAGTCCCTCAATCTCGACGGGCATAGCAGGGTTTGCTTTCTCTGTTAACGTCCCCATCATATCCCTGATAGCTCTTATACGACCCCATTCTACACCCACCACTACATACTGACCACAAACTAATGTTCCTGCCTTGATTATAGCAGTGGCCAGTGGACCACGGCCTTTATCAAGCCTTGCTTCCACCACATAAGCTTGAGCAGGTCCATCCACACGTGCTTTCAGTTCCATCATCTCAGCCTGGAGAAGCAAAGCCTCCTCTAAAGTGTCCAGCCCAGATTTTGTTGTTGCAGATACTTCAATCACCTGAATATCCCCACCCATCTCTTCTAAAGCCAAACCCTCCGAGGCAAGCTGTACTTTAACTCTTTCTGGGTTAGCACCAGGCTTGTCACATTTATTTATAGCAACTACAATCGGAACTTTGGCAGCTTTAGCATGTGACATGGCTTCTAGTGTTTGTGGCATCACTCCGTCATCAGCAGCTACCACCAAGACAACTATATCAGTGACTGCAGCACCTCTAGCTCGCATAGCACTGAAAGCAGCATGGCCTGGTGTATCGAGAAATGTTATGAATGCCCCTGACTGCATGCTCACAACAAAGGCACCGACATGTTGAGTTATACCACCAGCTTCTTTGGCTGCCAGGGATGTTTGGCGTAATGCATCCAAGAGGGAAGTTTTACCATGATCAACATGACCCATTACTGTCACAACAGGGGGCCTTGGCAAGATTTCCGAACCTTCATTTGAGTGTAGTCTCCTCACGTGAACACCAACTTCCTGGAAACGAAAAATAATCACACCATTACTTTCTTCAGTGCATATAACAGATACAACTGAAGAGATCTGCAAAAGCAGTATGATCAAAAGATGGCAAGGTTGCAAGTCTTGCAACCATATACAACATCATATTGAACCTAATGTTTCTAGAATGAACACCACTCAATTTTATTTCAAAACACCTAGTGTGAAGCAGGTTCCACAGATTAATTCAGTAACAGGTAAAACACGTACCATAGCAACCAGTTCAGCAACATCAATGCTAAGGGAGTCAAACTCTGAGCAAGCCTTCTCCCCAACGTTTATCAGGATATCCTGAAGATAATGTATTTTTTTCCCGGTGCACTTGGAAAGCTCAGCAATTGTCATGCCTTCAAAAATGTCAATTGTCTTATCTGGCATAAGTTTGATATTTTTTTTTACTGATTGAGGCACATATGGGGCTTCAACAGGAGGTTGTGTCCTGCCTTCCTTCTTCACATAATATTTTTCTCTCCTGGCAGTCTTCAAACCAAATGACTCATTGTTTTTTTTAGCCAATACATGGAGGCTCGCATGGAAACACCTGGCAAATTTTCAAGCCACATACAAACAGCTTTAGGTGTTATGATTGTTATGAGACATTTTTTTCTGAAAGATTTCTACCAAAGTAACCATTGATTTCCCCTTTATATAAAATGGAAAGGAACAATTTTTAACATCTACTTCCTCCGTATTTTAATACTTGCAACGCTAACTATTTCACGGTATTTAAGAGCAATGGATCTCACATAATTTAACACACTTAAAATGAAATTGTGAGATTGACAAGAGTATGATTAAGTGGGCCATGAGCTTTAGAAAAAGGGAAGGCAAGTATTGTGACAAGTGTAGAACTTTCACCAAAAAAAACTTTCACCAAGTGTAGAACTTTCACCAAAAAAACTTTCCAATTATTATGTGTTGCAAGTATTGTGACATTTCCATTTTAAAGAAGTGTTGCAAGTATTTAAAAAATGGAAGAAATATTACTTATTTACTACTGCAAGCAAGAAAGCATTTTGATGATTTTTATGTAAAGATTTATAAGAAACTTGTCATCAGATTGAAAATACTATGATATTCATAGAATTCAACAAGATAATCTCCCATCATTCCATCAGGACATTGACGAAGATATACCTTATTCTTTGGCTATAAAATTAAGCACAACAAACATTGTATTCCTCTGGGCAAGTGGGCAATCTGGGATGACTAATTAGTACTTAAGTTGCTTGAACAAAGTTGGTTTCCCCTTAATCAATAATTTCTCGAATTATTAGTAAGAAAAATGAGTACAAAGTGATTGCAATTTTAAATAATTCTTTATTCAGTATTCCAAGAAATTGAATATCTTTATCATTGTTAATGACTATTAACTGAATTTTTTTTAA